TGTCTGAGGGCACTGCTGTTGTCTTGATAGGCTGGGGCTGCAACAGTTGGGATCTTCCTGTTGGGGTTTTTGTCAGGCTGGATTCAGATTTTTAAAGGGAATGCATGATTTGTCTGTGCTGCTTTGTGATAAATGGAGCTGCTCAGGCTGGAGGGGTTCCTCTAAAAGAAAATGTTAGAAGGGTGGCACCAGTGCAACCAATGCAACGCTGCTTCTTTCCCAACGTTCCTTGCATAAGGATGAGGTATTTTCTTGTTATTTCTAATTTTCTGCTCTCCCCAGTCAACCTCTCGCTGCCCCAGGGAAAAAATACCAAGGAGATGGTGTTGTGGGTTAGGTCTGGATGCACTGTCAGAAAAAAAGAGCAGTATCACTGCCCACCATTTGGGATTCAGGTTCCTGTCCATTCCTCATCCCTCTCGCATTCTGGGCCCCAGGAAGCACCACCCTGTCATTTTTGCAGATTTACAAGGAAATTGGTGGCTGCCTTGCATTTCATACACTTTGTCACCATTCCAGGTTGGTATCTGCCTATTTTGTGGGCCTTTAAACCAGTCTTCCCAACAAACAATCACTTCTTTTGTGCCTGGAAAGTGCTCTGAAATCCCAGGAGTGTTGCTTAAGGGATGTTATTTATGCTCTGCCTGTCCTTTGGCAACATTCAGGAGCCTCAGTGTTGGTCTAAACATCCTTGGTGCTCTCCAAGCACACACATTTTATGGCCAGTGGCAGAGCAACCTGTTCATGGGAGAGATTCTCCTGGATTCTTCCCTGGATTTGTGTATGAGAGGCAGTTTAAGCTGTTCCATGTGCATTAGACTGAAGAGCTGAAAGGATTCAGGTAGCTCAGATTTGGACCTTGTATTAGGACTGTGTCCCAGGGGGAATTTCATCTCCCTGGGACAATTCATCCATCTGGACAATCCATCCATCGTGGGCCCTTGGTGCTGGGAAATGCCCCTGGATCTGCAGTCCTGCCAAGATTGCCATGGAAAGTCTGTTGCTATAAACCCTGGGTGGGTTTTTAACAGAAACAAAGATTTCTCAGGGCAGAGGAGAAGGCCATGAGAGCAAATTGCTGAATTTTAAGGGTGGGTAAAATTATGGAACTTTTACCCTTGAATAATGGCAATTTAATTGACTGGGCTAAATGATTGATGGTTGGTGAGCAATGAGTTTGAATTCCCAGGGCTGTGTGTTCAGGGGGGCACTGCCCTTTTAATTTCATGTCAGATATTTAAATCATTTTACATCACCCTGGGAGAGGAGCTCCCCTTTAAAGAGTTAACCTGTCTGGGGGGACACTGCAACTTGAGCCACGTACCCTTTATCAAGAGAACCAGATGAGACAAGTTCATTTAAAAAGCCTGGTTTGTCATTGTTTATCTAATTTTCGGGGTTGACACACAAAATTAGGCTGGCTGACACTCACTCCAGGGCTATCCCTGGCCCTGTCCTGCCTGACCTTTCCAGCTCCAGGCTGATGTGCTGCAGGAATCTCAGTGCATCCCAAAGCCCAGGGTGAGGCAAACCAGTACCTGCCCAGTAAGGGAAACCACTTCAAATAGGTCCAGACTGAGACCTGTTTGTTGAGACTGAGCTTTTCAGTCTTGTGGCAACTGGAATAAATTTCCTTCTGTTGACTCTTTTAGTAGCATTTTCAGAATGAAAACTCCTGAGAAAAATTACAACGGTTGAAAATTGCAAGCTAATATAATTTGTGTCTCCCGGTTCTGATGTTCTTGGTCACCCAACGCTGAATTGTTGGGGTTTTGTGGCCTGCTCACAGAATCTCTGAGCAGTAACTTGGATTTTTAGTGGATGTGGGATCAGTGGTGGATGGATTGAAGTGCTCCTCCATATCTCTTAAAGATGGCACTACAAACCAGCAAGGTGTGAACACACGCTGGAAAGGCCACCAAGAAATAAAACCAGGAAGAAATTAAATGAGCCAAAATTTCAAACCAGCTAAATAAGTGAGTTAAAAATTGCCCAAAGAGTAATTAACAATTATCTCTTTCATTTACAAAGCAAAACAAAACAACCCCCAAACTTTAGCTCAAAAATGAGAAATTTTTGCATCATGTTTGGCAGCACATTTGTCATTTTTCTGTGGCAGCTCTGGCTGCATTCCTCCTTTAGTGGTTTTGATTTTTGTCTGGTTTTTTTCCCCTTAATTTTCCTTTCTTCCCTGTCTAATCTTCCTGCCCCTTCTCTCCTCTTTCCCTTGCAAAGATATCTCCAGTTTAAGGTTTCTGAGGGGGGGAGATGTGTGCTTGGAGGAAATCCTGAATAACTTCCCTGAGACATTTTTGGGTGCTGAGCCAACTGCAAGCCCTCTTACGTTGTTTGTGCTACATTTTCACTCCAAATGTTGCTGTGAACAGGCCAAGGCCAGGGTTGGTGGACTCCTGCATTACCCACAGTTCCAGGATGCTCTTTGATATCTGTTTTATTGCAGTTGCAGGGGTGAGTGCAGGTTTTAGAAGCAGCAAAGTGGGTTTGGAAGTAGATTTTGGCACAGGCCATCCATGACCTGCTTGGGAGCTCCTTGTTTTTGGTGCCTGACCTGGACATGCTGCTGGTTGTCCACCCAAGAGCTGCAAAGATGGGTCCTCCTGACACTGAATTTGTAGCTTCGGTAGAAATCTCTGTTCTCCCGTTCCCTATTTAAAAACAAACAAAATCTCCAAAAAAACCCCCTCAAACAGGACAAAAAAACCAACCACCAGGTTCTGAAAAACCATCTCCTAGTAAAACCATCCCTTCAGGCTGAGAAAAAGCCTCCCTGGAGAGCAGCACAGTCCAAAAACAAGGGAAATCCCAAGAATGGTTTCAACTTAAACTTCTTCCCGAGGAGAACAGTGTGTAAAACCCCGGGTTTCACTGGAATATCCTCACAAAACAAAGCAAACAGGGTGACCAGCGTGGCCAGCTGATGTTTCCAGCCTGGCAGAGCTGCAGTTTCCCTGGACACATTGTGAGGAGCTCAAAGGCAGGGATATCCTGGGTGTGAGATGGCTTTGGCTGCGGGGGGTCTCTCCATCGTAAAGGAGATTCATGGGAGAAGGGACTGGCTTTAATAGCTGCCTTTAATTGCCCCAATGCATCTGCTCTTCCTTGTCTGTGCCTTCTGATTGTTTTTTCCTGGTTCTCTCCAGTGTCCTTGGCTGTTTTGTTTAAGAGGCAAAACAGCTCCTTCTAGGCTGTCTTGCTTATAATAGGCATTTACTTTATTCCTGCACCTTTTTCACCCAAAAATACCCCGAGTGCTGGGCAAAAGCACACTTGTACTGATTTTTTGCAGCAGCATTTATTCCCTTTTTAACCGTGAGGCTGCTGGAAATTAAGCAGCTTTTGTGAAGGTCACACTGCAAAATATGTGACAGCTTGGGAATAAACACCAGGATTCCTGTCTCTGGGTTCCCTATCGTGCCCTCTCCTGAATTGTTTTCTTAGGTAAGAGCCAAGTAAAATCAGCAATATTTCACACTGAATTCCTGTAAAACAGCGAAACCCAAACATACTTGGTTGGGATATTTGGAGTAGGAGCAAAAAGAAAAGAGGATTCTGTCTTTCCTTAGTGCTGTGCCTGATGTTAGACATGCAAGTCCAGAGCTGAGGATTTTTAGTGGCCAGGTGTTGGGTGGGAAAAGACATTGGCCATATGCTCGGTGCCTGGAGCATCTGTGTACTTAAATGCATCATTTTGGGATCATCCATCTTCTCTGGGAGCACTGAGCTCTCTGCTGCCATCCCAGACGGGATCTGGAACCCCTGGATCTGTCCTTCCTCCCTGGTGGAGCATCTCCCAGGCAGTGACCGGGAGTGAACACACACGGATCCGCCCGGATGGGAAATTCTGGATGCTCTGACAGGATTCCAAGTTGCTGTTTATAGTTAAGAGGGGCTGAAAGGAAGAAATTTGCTCCCCAAAAATTGAATATCGAGGGAAAACATCCCTTACTGTGGCAGTTCCCAAAGAGCAAACTCGGGAAGGTCGATTGCAATGGCAGGAAGCAGCAGCTGCCCACAATTCCAAAGGCATGGAGAGAAAACGAAGGGCTTGGTGGGATGCACTGACAAATTTGGGAAAGCAGGTTCTCTGCACTGGCTTTGCTCTGGAAATGTGTGATCACACAAGAGCTGTGCTGTGGCCCCCAGTTTGCAGGAGCTGGGTGGTCCTGTATCTCTGGATTTGGGAATCTCTGCGGTTGTTTTCTGTGGGATGTGCATGTAAGAAAGGGGTCTTAAAGCCCATCCAATTCCAAACCCCTGCCATGGGCAGGGACACCTTCCACTATTCCAGGTTACTCCAAGCCCTGGCCAACCTGGCCTTGGACACTTCCAGGGATCCAGGGGCAGCCACAGCTTCTCTGGGCAACCTGTGCCAGGGCCTCTCCACCCTCACAGGGAAGGATTCCTTCCCAATATCCCATCTATCCCTGCCCTCTGGCAGTGGGAAGCTATTCCCTGTTGTCCTGTCCCTCCATCCCTTGTCCCCAGTCCCTCTCCAGATCTCCTGGAGCCCCTTTAGGCCCTGGAAGGTCAATACACAGGAAAGGTGCACAGGGGGCTGTTACAGAGAGAAACTTTTAGGGATCACAGACCTTTACAAGTAGAAGAGCAGATTAATGTTTTTTTTTTCCCAGGATATCATTTTCCCAAAACATCCTTTAGCGGTTGCACAGCCTGGAAGGCCATCCCAGAAAGGAGCTAAAGGCTCTAAACACAATGAGCTACTGGAACATAAAAATAAACAACCAGTATTTCCAAGGAGTCCTGGGCTGAGGCCTCCAGGAGGAGTCTGGGCCCCCCCAGCCTTCCCTCCTCCATAGGAACCTGCACATGGATAACATGGATCCGAGGGGAAGTTCACTGCTTTGAATCACCAGTTTATTGCATTTTTATGGCTGTAACCACAGGATATTCCAATGTGGGGTTTTTTTTTCCAAAGGGTCGTGTTTGTCGTGGCTGACTCTGCCTGTCCCACTTTGCAGGGCCACCCCTTCATCGTGCAGTACAACGATGGCAACGCCGAGGTCGTGTCCATGTGGGTGTGCAGGATGCTGGAGGAACGACGGGCCACCCAGGGCCCACAGTGAGCTGGGAGCATCCCAGGAAACCAGAGCTCATCCTGGACCAGAAGCACCATCCCCATGCTTCGGACTCGCCCTTTCTCCGGATCCTATTTCCCTAAAAATATTTTCTAGGAGCACCAACAAAGCCTCTCGGGGGGTTTGTTGCTGCCTTTCCCTCACTGCCACACTAAAGGAATTTTCTTCCCACCTTTCTTTTGCTGCCGAGCAATTTTACAGATTATCTTCAGTTATACTGTCCACAGCCTTGAAGCAAGTATTTTATATCTCTATTTTTTGGTTATTGAATGTACTGGATGTTTCCTGACTCCAGAGTATTTTTTAACTGTTGCTCTTGTACGGATGACACGCCGAGTGTTTAGAGGAATCCTGAGGAGCTGGTGGCTGTCTCTGTGTCCAGAAAGCCACAAAAGACTGGGTTGAAATGTAAAACAAAAGCAAACAAACAGAAAAAGAGAAGGATCTGGGCTTGCCCAGGTGAGGGTTGCCCTTCCAGAGGGCATTCAGGTGGATCAGCACTAATAAATGACTGGGAATGCCTCTCCCTGCTCCCGGCACCGGCTGCTGCAGTGCAGGTCAGGTTTGCTGGGAGAGCCAAGCAGGGAAGAGAACACAAAAATGAAGAGCATCCATGGTCAGGCTCTGCAGGCTGGTCCCTCAGTCAGAAGGGTTTTGCTGAGGTGGAAAAGGTGAGGGGAAAGGACAGTGCTCAGCTCTGGAGCCAGGCTGGGAGAGCTGGGGGGGTTCACCTGGAGAAGAGAAGGATCCAAGGAGACCTGAGAGCCCCTTGCAGGGCCTAAAGGGACTCCAGGAGAGCTGGAGAGGGACCTGGGACAAGGGATGGAGGGACAGGACACAGGGAATGACTTCTCACTGCCAGAGGACAGGGATAGATGGGATATTGGGAAGGAATTCCTGTTTGTGAGGGTGGTGAGGCCCTGGCACAGGTTGCCCAGAGAAGCTGTGGCTGCCCCTGGATCCCTGGAAGTGTCCAAGGCCAGGTTGGACGGGGCTTGGAGCAACCTGGGCTAGTGGAAGGTATCCCTGGGAGGGAACGAGATGAGCTTTAAGATCTCTTCCAACCCAACCACTGCATGATTCCATGATTCTCCTCCCCAGGGAGCAGGTGCTGTGGGAGAGCCGGGCACAGCCAGGGTGGGAGAGCAGCTCCAGCCCCAGGAGTCTGCAGAGAGCAGCAGCACCGGGGGAATCACTTCTGCCCCAGGGAGCCAAGGGCCACAGCTCAGGCTTGGCAGCATCCCATGGGATCGTGGGGGCAGAGAGATGGCACAGAGGGTGCCAACCTGATGGCTGGGGAACAGGCTGCAGGTTTTCCTGATTGTCCCAGCAGCTCGTGGCTTGCTTGGAAGCCTCTTGCCTTCGTCAGCTCCACCTTGATCCCTGATTTTCTCCCTCGGAGTGGCTGTGTGAGGGGTGCAGCTGGGTCAGGCACAGGCTCCCAGGTTTGCTGTTACAGGAGAGGGGAATGATTGCAATGTCCCTGCTCTGTGTTTCTGGCTCCTGCAATTTCTGTGGACGTTTCCACAACAGACCGAAACAGATTGAATCAGTCCTTGTTCAAGATGCTTATTAAAAGGAAAAATAAAACACAGACAAGATGTGAGAGGCAGGTTTGGGGTGAGCGACTTGGGTGGGAGGAGGTTGGGGCTTTGTTTGCTTGTCTTTGCATTAGAAATAAACTTTTGCTAAAAAAAAGAAGAGGCTCAGGTAGTTTATTTTATACCAGCAGGTTAAACCCCCCCCACAATTCAGTGAAACGTTCCTTCTGAACCACTGCAAATCCTAAATGTTACTCTGGAAGCAGCCTGGAAAAGACTTTGTTTCCTTCCTTGGAGGGATCATTTGTCTTCTTTTGAAGTGCAGAGGTTGCAGGCATGAACTTATAGACTAAAGTTTGTCTTAATTGCTCTGATGTCACAACCTCGCTGGCAGATAACAGTGCAGTGAATGAGTCCACAGCCCCCATCCCTCCAGGTCCTTTTTCTAAAGTGAGACAAATCTCCTTCCTGTGAGCCAACCAGAGGATGGGCAGCTCTCCCATTTATTTATCCCTAACAGTTTGCATTAGCTCTCCCTGGATAAAAAGTCTCTCTTGAGTTTAGTTTCAAAGTCAGCAAACCCAAGGCTTTTCCTCTCCCTTTCCCTGGCAGGGAGGGGACGGTGTCACCCTGAGGATCCCTGTGGGATTCCAGCTGATGGAGACAGGGAAAATTCACATGTATGAACCTTGCTGGTTCATCAGGGTAATCAATCCAGCAGTCAGGGGGAGGTTTGGGGCCTCCAGCATCTTTCCTCTCTCAAGTCCTTGGATTTGCTACAGACTGGAAGAGGATAAGCAGCTGGGGGGCTGCTCAGTGGCATCACTTCTGCCCCACTCCCAGCACCACTTTTTGGGGGGGATTACGGCTGGATGAGAGTGGAACAGGCAGATTGGGGAAAACCCAGCCCCCACCCATCAACACCAAGGGGCAAAAGTGAGGGAAAGGGGGGGAGGCAATAAATTGGGCCAGGATTTAACTCCACTGGGTGCCCCCACCCACAGCTCCTCTCCCTGCAGCAAACACATCCCAACCTGTGTCTGTGCCAGGTTGGAGCTGGGTGAGCCTGGCATGGGGCCCCTCAACACGGTGCAGGGTCCCCCCAAAACTGAAAGGATCCCTTGGGATGCATTTAGGCTGAGGAAATCCTGCCTTGGTGCACCTATAACTTTGAGATGGCCAAGACACGTGAAACATGTCCCAGGCTCTGCCTTACATGTAATGTCCTCCTGCCCCCAAAACCCTCTCCAGGGATGGGAATGAACCACTAGGGAGATTTTCCCAGCTGCCAGGCAGGGCTGGAAGCACTGGGTGCTGTGAAGGGCTCAGCAGTGCTGCTCCCCACACAGGCAGGAGCTGTGCCAGAGCTGGGGCTGCCTGGGATCTTCTCCCTCTCTCCTTCCTGCTGCAACTTTTTGGAGTCTGAATTGGGGCATTTCTTGGCTGAAAAGCTTGCAGGAGGTGCAGTGTTATGCTCTAAACTGAGTCCTGCTCAGAAGATGGCAGGGGTGGTGCATAATGAACATACTAATTTGTAGTGGATCCTACAGAGGCACTGAGTGACCCCCCCCCCCAGTCCCTCCCAGTCCCACTCCTCATCCCACCAGCTCATTGAGGGGCTCCACCAGCAGCCCCACACCAGTTTCACCTCTCTTATAACCTCAGTCACGGTTAGGAATTGACTCCTATGGGAGTGTGTACGTGGAGACTCACGGGGAAAAACTCAGGATGTCCCATCTGTGCCAAAACTTGCAGTATTTTCCACTTTTCCCTGCCTGTGCTCCTTGCCAGGCGAAACACCCTGGGAGATGAGCCCGTGGTAGTTTGCCCTTAAACCCAGCACTGAATTAAAAACCACTTTGCTTCTTGTATCTCGTGGCCAAACACATCCTGCTGCCGGCATTCCAAAGGCAGAGGGGCAGTCTTGGTTTTCCAAATAACAGCCTGAAAAGCTCTGGGGGAAAAGGGGACTGTGAGGGGTCCTCGACCTGCCCCTCTCCCTTGGCTTAATGCCTGTGGAGCAGGGATGGCAATGTGATAGTGTTAATAACTGAGCAATCACTAGGAACAGCTCTTGGGAGCTTCATTTGATCCCTTGGATACCCGAGAGCAAGCAGGAGGACTGAGTCTGGGAGTGGTGCAGGTGTTTTCCTGCAGAGAAGGTTTACCTGGAGCCATCACTGGAGGAGGGATGGAGCACAGGACCCCCCTGTTTCTGATGCAGGCAGCAAGTGGGCAATGTCTGAAGCAAAACCTGGGAATTTGAGGGTTTGCTGGAGAACAAAAAATCCTGCAGGGAGCAAAATCCGTGGGAGAAGCCCCTCTCTGGTGTCAGAGGGATTTTGGCTGTGGGTGGGGAGGGGCGATGCCACCAGAGCAGGAACACTCTTCATTGGTTTGTGGCTCTGACTGTGCTCCCTCTGCCCAGCGCTGCCTTCAGGCAAGACAACCCGGGGGGCATCACATCCAGCCCCTTGGGACCTGCACCCAGAAACCCCCCAGGGAGCTGCAGCCTTGGCTGGTGAGGGAGAGGAGGGAGGAGGAAGGTCAGGAGTCTGTACAGGTCATGGCTCTGCTCTGGGGATGCTTCCCATCACGGAGAGGGAAGCTGTTGGTGACTCCTCCCAGGGGGTGCAGGGCACACAGAACCCCCCTCAGCCTCTCTGGGCAGTGAACAGGAGCAGCAAATCCTTCACCAGGGTGTGAAGCCCCTGTGCTGCTCAGCCCCTTGGAGACACCTTAGTACAGGGACCTTTCCTCCTGCTCCCTTTAGGATGTGGAACTGGCAGAGATAAACATGTGAGAGACCCAACAACACCTGCAGGAGACCCGTCCCTGCCCAGCTACCGCAGGCTGGGCCACTCAGGGAACGGGTCAAACACATCCCGGGTGCCTCCAGTTCTTTGGGAGCTGTAGGAGAACCAACTGTGGCCTCTCAGCCTCTCCCGGGTGCTCAGGGGACTCTGCAGCCGCGTGAGGGTATTTTTGGGTGACTCCTGCCCCACACAGCCCCATCCCTGCAATGTGGAGAACCAGGTAGGAACCACCCCAAACCCCAAACACTGCAGCTGGGTGGGCACAATGTCCCTGCGGTGGGAGCCAGGCCTGGGGGGCAGAGGGGCTCCAGGGAGGGAGGGGGAGCTGGAGCTCGTTGAACAATGGAGAGGTCCCGAGACACAGCAGTTATTTAGGATAACTCATCTTCAGCATTCCCTGGGGGATCCTCCCAGGCTGGGGGGGGCTCACAGGCACCCTGGGACAGAAGTCTGGAGGGATGGGAGGGCTGAACTTGCTGCCTCATCCTGCTCCCCCAGCTCACCAGCACCGCGCTGCCTGGACTGGGAAAGCCCAATGGGGAAAAATAAATTACAAATCTCGCTAAGTGTATTATTTGGCCACATTTAATAAAAAGACGATCATACAACCTGCTTTAGAGGAAGGTGTCCCTGCCCACGGAGGTGGGGTTGGAACGAGATGAGCTTTAAGGTCCCTTCCAACGCAAACAATTCCAGGATTCTGTGATCCTGTGCCTTTCCCGTCGGGAAGCCGCAGCGGGAGAGCTGCGGCTGCCGAGGAGCTGCGCTGACCCGGGGCTGTGTTACCTTCAGGAGAGGGTATGTCCATAAACCACACGTGTGCACTAAGGACAGGATTTATGGATTAAGCCTTACTGGCTCCGGCAGCGGCGGCCGCCTCCCGGTCCCCCCCGGCGGCTGCTCCCGCCGCCCGGTCCTGCGGTGGAAGTTCAAGGTTTATCCGAGCCCGGAGCCCGGGAGATGTTTACTGGCAAATGGATGTCTGGGGCTTTTACAGGCGGGAGGAGGAAAACTTCCCTGCAGCCGAGGCAGAGCTGCCAGGCCCCGGCGCAGGTGAGTGCGGGTCCATCCCGGAGGCCTGGCACGGCACAGGGCACAGGGAATTGCTGCCCCGGGCTCCTCCCGCTCCAGCCCCGCGGAGGCGCTTGGGTTCACCTGATCAATAAAGTCATGTCTATCGATCCCGCCCGCGGCGTTCGCTCCTCCGCAGCCCCGCGGCCGCTCCCGCCCGGGAAAATTCGGGAGATTTAGAGCCGCGGGGATGCGAAGGGAGGGTTTGCGTGGTCAGGAAAGTGAAGGGCAGCGCTGCCATGGGGGGGTCAGGGACAGGGGACAAGGTGAGGGCGGCTGGGGGGGTTGGAGAGCAGGGGGAGCTGAGGCACATCAAGGGGTGCACGTTGTGGAGAGTCGGGGGGGGCACGGTGGGTGTTGTGGG